TTTTTTTTTTAATTTTTTCTTTCATGTTTTATCTTGTTATCTCTCTTTTACATTCTTTGTTCGTTGAAATAACGATAGGAAGTTATTCCGCTCGTGCAAGATAAATAATAACAATACGTCTCACGATATAGAGATATCATATCTTATTTCACAAAGCCGTTTATCGACTTTTTACGCACGTACGAGATTTGCTTAGCGAAATATTTCTAATTACTAAATACCTCGAAATATCTTTTGCGTCATGAAAATAAATCTTTCACGTCACGCCTGACATTTGTCTATCACATTAATGTTTATTTTCGAGGTATCTGGATTATTATCGACGTCATTTTGTCGTGATGAGTTTGCTTTATATAGAGCGACGCAAAAGGATTTATAAAAGATTCACACGTGTGATCAAAAACCTACTCATTCAAGCGAATCTTGTTACGCGAATCTCTTTCTCTTTTTTTAGTGGAACTTCGACAAAAATCATTTGTTAGTTTTTTTTTTTTTTTTTTTTTTTTTTTCAAGATAGTTATCGACTTTTCTGTCGCATTTTAGAAAATGTTAATTATGTCATTTTTAAAATGTAGGTGGCTCACTCTTCAACACTCAATTTAAAGTTCTGCCTGGATATTTAAAGATATTTTTTTGCGAAAACAATTTCGCAGTACTGTGTCCAGATGCATCAGTTTTCGACGAAGAAATGCCTTCACTTCGAGATTTCGATGGAACACCTTGGATTCGTTTTATCGAGGTCATGGTACTGCAATCTTATAAGCAAGGACGTAATGTTTGAGACGTGCATTCGTAATTGCATACAATATATAACAACGTCCGCAATTTGTTATCTAATTTTTCTCGACAAATAGTAACTTGCGAAGTGCATTGCGTCAGACGAATTGAATAATTATCAATTTAAATCATAACAGAATTGTTTTTAACAAAAAAACTTTGAAATGACGCAACAAAATCGAATAATGACACGTTGTTCTATTCGTATACGCGCGAATTGTTCAAATTTGCGTTCAAATCGCGTCACTTGTGCTCGAATTAATCTCCGTATATTTGGTTTTCAATCTAAAATAATCCGAGGCATACCGGATGTCCCTACCACGCACGTGAATATTTCAGCGAAACGCTTAATTCGCGAATAACACGTCGATGCATCTTCCTTAGAACTTGAAACTTGAATATCATCGAAATCTTTACGTATTTTGTTGAAATATTCATTTCGAACGTTGTTGTCTGATAAAAATACATCTTTGTCAAAATTAAGAACGTAATCTCACGCAAAACAATCCTTTGTGCATAAAACCGATAATTTATTTGAAATTCTAAAATTTGATAATTTAAAAAGACAAAAAATTGAAATGTATAAAAACGTTACGTATTCAATTTTCATTTATTTTTTGTCAAGCACGACGTGAAAGAGAGACAACTATTTGAAAAGTCATTTGCTTGCAAAAGTAGAAAAGTCAAAAGATAAAATATAATTCGCTCGTGTTGTAAAAAACAAAGAAATTCTATGATTAAGGTCGAGCATAATATATTAGGTCTACCGGAAAGTTCTGTCCGTTTTTGGAATAAAACAAAATACAAATTTTTCCAAATTTTTCAAAAATGGGATATACAAATTGCCCTCACGCTGGTAAGAAATCACTAATAATAATGGCAATTATATTATTTAATAAAGTTTATTGACGGTAAGAAAAATTTGTATTTTGTTTTATTCCAAAAACGGACAGAACTTTCTGGTAGACCTAATATATTGGTCGGAAATAAGAAATCACTTTTCATTTTCTCGTCTCTGACGTTGCAATGACGAACAGCCAACAAGAACTGTCTTTTGCCTAATATATTAGGTCTACCGGAAAGTTCTGTCCGTTTTTGGAATAAAACAAAATACAAATTTTTCTGAATTTTTCAAAAATGGGATATACAAATTGCCCTCACGCTGGCAAGAAATCATTAATAATAATGGCAATTATATTATTAATTAATAATAATGGCAATTATATTATTTAATAAAGTTTATTGACGGTAAGAAAAATTTGTATTTTGTTTTATTTCAAAAACGGACAGAACTTTCCGGTAGACCTAATGTATTAAATATATGTTAAATATATATTATAAGTATATATTAAAAATTTATTAACAAAAGTAGATAAATAGTATATGTTTGGTGCGAAACGTTTCGACATGCACGGATGTCATCTACAGTCGCTTAGTATAAAAAAATAAAAAAATGGTTGTCTTGAAGTCGCATATAGGTGGATGCGCATACCTTGTTTTAGAAGAATGTTAATGTCACATCATAAACTAATAAATAAACAGTAAGAAGTCAAATGCTTTTGTTAATGAATTTTTAATATATATTTTTTACATCTCTGTTTTTAATGCTGTATGTTTCTGCAATTTAGAACAATGATCTTTTATATATTGTGCAGTACTTAATGTTTTTTTGTTTTTTGTTTTTTTTTTTAGTTTTTTCTTTCATGTTTTATCTTGTTATCTCTCTTTTACATTCTTTGTTCGTTGAAATAACGATAGGAAGTTATTCCGCTTACGAGATAAATAATAACAATACAAATGCTTTTGTTAGTGAATTTTTAATATATATTTTTCACATCTCTGTTTTTAATGCCCGATATTGACCTTAATCATAGAATTTCTTTGTCAGAAAAGTCAAATCCCCGCACTTTGAGGATCGACCTTCGCAGTCGCATTGATGCGAATCCAGTCTCGACACAGTTAGTCGCAAAAAAAAAACTCTAAAAAAAAACTATATAGTTCCTACAATGAAAACTGCTGTGTCACACAGTTTCGACTCGTACGTTGCTCCAATCCGCATGGGTGCAATTGCCCATATCGGGAGACAACATATTTCGTGACGTAAAATAAAAAATAAAAATATACAAAAATTAAATTATCACATGTGCAAAAGTGCGTACGAGACTTCGCGTGTGATTTGCAATTCTTTTTACGTTTCGCATTGTTAGAGAGCGAACATATTATTTACATTGTCTTTTTTTTGAAACGTCACGTAACGTTTGCGCGGTTAATTATAACGAGCGGAAGGGTGAGAACGCGTTGAATCGCGCGCGAGTCGATTATCCTGTTTGTTACGTGAAAATCGCGCGGAAGAAATTGTTTTTTTTTTTTTTTTTTCAATTGTCCTGTTGCGAAAATAAAAAGCGGCGTATAAAAAATGACACACGTTGACAGACCCAAGGTCGGAATATTACCCGTAATTAAAGAACGCGTCAAATTTAATAACGGGGTTCATCACCGCGCGGTTCATCCCTACTCTTGTCGCGCAGTTCGCAGCACGCAGTTTTTTTTTTTTTTTTTTTCACGAAACCGGGCAAGCGCCGCAGCTTGCGAGTCGTCACGTCGCCAGGACTCTCGTCGGGTTCGCGCGCGCCGGGAGTCGCAACACCGTCATATAGCCGTCACAGCCCGTCGTGCCCGTCGTGAACGTCACAGCCGAGATATATACGCGGCTCTCTCTCTCTCTCTCTCTCGTTTAAAGCGAGCGCCGTTGCTTCGGTTCGTGTTAGTTCATCGCGACTCGCCGCGTCGTCGCGTCGTTCTCCTGTGAAGTTCGTCCGCCAACGTATCTCCGTCGCTTCCTTCGCGGATCGAACGTGGCCGTGCGTGTGTGCTGCTCCAGAAACCTGGTCGTCCCAGAAATCTGGTGTCGCGCGTTCATCAGTGCCGCGTCAAAAAAAAGTTCCATCGTTCGCGAATGTCGCGGCAAAAGTCGGCCGCAAACGGCAATTAGCGAATTTCCCGCTTTTTGTTGTTTTATTTTTTTTTTTTTTTGAATTTTTCACTCGCAAAATCGGAAGGAAGGTGTGTAACGCAAAGAAACGTGTAACGCAGCAGAATGGTCATGATTGACATGGTGGATGTAATCGAGGATGAGGACCGGTGTGTATTCAAGACTCCCCGAGAGAGTTGCTCCGAATGTTGTACGTTCGTTCAAAGAAATTCGGACGAACCCTGCCCGCCTGGCGCTAACTCGCGGTTATATCGGTTCGGTATTGATCCCCCGCTTTTATATTGGCGTGTGTCCAGTGGATTCCCTCAAATCGGTTGCCGAGAAATATTATACCGAGGAGTTGGTAACGATCGGAAAAATTCGTTTTATATCTCGCACATCGTCTCATCGGTCGATTATTTAATTTGGTGAAATTTTGGTGCAATCCGCGTATCGACCGCTTTGTCCGCGAACAAAAGAAAAAACTATGACGAGATGCGGACTTCACACTCCGTCTATTGACTAGAATCTAAAATGCGACGCATACGTGACAATACGTGACGCTCGTTCGAGATAAAGCGGCGTCCGAAAAATTATAAGACGCGCGCGTGTTACGCAGTCCTTTTTTTTTTTTCCGCACGTCGCCATTTGTATATTGTATGTTGTGCAGAACCGCGCGTTCCTTCACGTTTGTAATTAAAAAACTGACGTGACGACAAGAATAATTCGCGGGACCGTCAACATTTCTAATTACGGTTGGCGTGCGTCGCACGATAACGCGCGTTCGAAAAGTTCTTCCGCATCGCGAAAAGACGGAAGCGTTTCGCGATGATTAATAGTTTCTCCTCGAATATTTTTAGCGTTTCGCGGAAAGCGCTCTCGCAATTTGAGTTGTTCGAAACATTCGCCGCTGATTTTCGACATGTTGTTAGGGATTTAAAAATTTTTCTTCGTTTTTCAAAAAAAAACAAACAAAAACATTTGTTTGTAAAATTACTTTTTGGTTGGAGTCGAATTGTTTACCGCGACATAGAATGCGAAAATTTACATGTCGAATTAATTTGACGAGACGGGCGAAATTGTTTGTTCCAGATACGAAAGGCTCCTCAGGAGAGCGAAGACGGAAGACCTGACCGAAGTCTCGGGGATCGGTTGTCTGTATCAAAGCGGAGTGGATCGACAAGGTCGACCTGTGGTGGTTTTTGTTGGCAAATGGTTCCCGGCCACCAAAATCAATCTGGACAAGGTAAAGACTTTCAAAAAGATTAATATTCTGACACATATTGCGTAAAAAAAAAAAAAAAAATGAGTCGCGCGCGCGCGCGCGCACGAGTCAGCGTCGAATACAATAAAATCAATTCGAATAAATAATTGCGTGCCGATTGCGGCACGAAAATCAAGCGAGCACAAAGCGACGTTTCACGCGTGTAAAAAATCTAAGACTTTATTCCGCAACATCATCGCAACGTAACAGCACACGTCTCTGTATTCAACTCACGGTTGTCCTTTGCAATTTGATCGATTTGCCTCAAATGTTTTATGAGGTGTAGAAACATAGTGCGCGGCAATATATCTTACCGACTACTTTTCTGAAGTATTAAATCACCTTTTGCGCTTTACTTCTCCTTACCCCGTTTTAACATATCGTTACGCATATCCATATATAAATATTTAATTTACGCACCGTCACATCTTGTAACATTGTGTGTTCCGACACTAATGAGTTTCATAAGCGTTTCAATTTTTATCTTATCAATCGCTTTGTACCTTTGACCAATGTTGCATTGACAATTCCAAGGTACGGATAAATGAAATAAAAACACTAGTGTTCGAATAAACGAATCCCGTGTCAATAATTGTGATTGTCGTTATTAATTAATGGATTGTTTGATACTTCATTAACCCTCGGAGAACACACTGAGTCAATTTGACCCTGTTCGTCGAACTTTGATCAAGATATTTTGCTTCAATTTTGCTTTTTTTTTGTAACATATTTTTTACAATGTTAATAATGTTAACGACACTTAAAAACTATACAGGGTGATTCAGAACAACCCGTTATCCTTGAAAATACATATTCTTGACTAAATTCTAAGACAACTTTTTATTTGGCAAAATTTTGTCTGAAGCTTACTTTTTGAGTTATTAATAAAAATAGTTGACTTACCACAAGTCGGATGCAAGAGGT